GGAAGGGATCAAAGGCATGGCCTAAGCTTGAGTTCCTAGGGAATAAAATAAAGACCTAACTTTCAGGATAATGAGAGGCAGTACCTCTTTCATGAATAATTTCCTGCCTAAATTCCAGATGCCAAGACGAAGACAACATCTTTTTTAAGCTTTTTGGTATACTGGGGCATCTGGAAGCACCATGAGTCTTGTGAAGTATGCGTTCTCAGCAGGTACATAAAATGGGGAGGAAAGGAAGTTTTCTATGCCGTCTAGTCTTCCTTTACGTGAAGTCAGAAAGCTTTGATGTTTCTGCTCGCAGCTTTAGGTGATGCTGAAAATTGAAAACATTTTTTTGAAATGTTTGTATGTGGCAATTTCCAATAACACAAAAGCTAATTTTCCAAATATTCTGTGACAACGGAAAAATGGAGTTCTCACAGTATTACAGGTATCTTTACAGCATATTCATGTTGTAAACCTTTGTTCTGAGTTTTCAACTGTTTTTATAACAGACAACTAAATTGCACACTGCCCATAATATATCAAACTGACAACAGGATTGCATTCCTAAGTAATGCAGCTCCTTTGCTGGAAGCCAAATTACCAAACCAAAGTTTAGCATTAAAGATCTGAATGCAATTAGTAATATTTGAGTTAAGATTATTAATGTTTTCCATGATTGTAGACTAACAGTTGTGGGGAAAAAAGTGAAGATATATAAATACCTGTAGAAGAACTCTTTTTCTTGCATATTTCTGCCAGCATTAGATAGATCAACCAATTGCAATATAGCACATTACAGCAACTGCAATAAAACTCCACCTGTATCTTTTTTTAAATGATATCAACACTGCTAGGTGCTTTTCTGTCACTGCTGCTCTCAACTTCTTATCTCATTTTTTTCCCCTATTCCAATTTATTGCTAACCAAAATCTGCCCACAACTTGGGCAAGGATGGATACTCTTTTATAGCTTTTGTTATACAGAAGTAATAATCCTGTATCTCTCCCTCTATTCCTTCTTGCTCTTTACTGCTTCAACTGCTATTTGAAAAGATTCTTTTACCTTTTAATTCTCCTCTTATCTATTGTTTAAATCTATTTCTGTATTGCTTAGAACTGCAAATCATTTTCAGAGAGAATCTGGAAGGAAGATATCATGAAACCATATTTCTTATACTATATTAATCAACAGTAAAAAAACGCACATATTTTCTACTGCCAGTGTCTGCTCTTCTAAGAGAATAATATTTACTCTGTCAAGAAGCCCAGCATTATCTCAGGCGCAAGACACTTGCACATTTCCAACTCTGATGAAGCCATATCCCCCTTGTTTCTAAAATTTACTATTGTTATGGTCAGTTATTCTACATATACTCAATATGCTGCATATCTCACAGACCTGGAGCATGCGACATGCTGATGCTCATTTTCAGATCAGCTGAAGCTTTTCAGTGTCAAACTACACATAGAGTTTCTGCCTCATGAGCCCTATGAAAATATTTTGCAAGCCATGCCTAACTCATGAGTGAAAGATTGATCTCCTCTATGCTATTTCATTTCCTCCACACAACTGAATGTTTTTGGCTAAGAAAGGAACTACCGAATTACTTCTTAGCATTCATGTAGGCCACCATTCAATCAGTGAGATTGCTACTTGGTCAACATATGAAAATTCTTTTGGAGTCTTTGCTTAAACTGAAATATTCTTGTTTAACCTACTGTCTGGTGTAATTTATGCTTCTTGGACAGCTTGCTCAACTGAGAAATTGTGCCAATATTATATTGAATTTTGCTGGAGTTAGTGTATTTTCTCCACTGCCATTGCTGGGTGTATTATTTGTTTGTTTTAACCGCTCAGAAGGCCCAAATTATCATCAGGGCCATACACAAATATATACCAAAGTACAATGTCATATCCCAAAAAAATGGGAAATGAAAGGAAATGTCACTATGCGTCTTTTAGAAATGGGGAAATGAGGCACGCTGGAGATCACAGGAGGAAGACTACAGCAGAGCTAAGAGTCAATCCAGATCTCTTGAATAGTGTTCCACAAGTTTTTTGGCCAAGAATGTATTAGATCTGAGTGATTTACAAAATCAGATCAAATCCTACTAATATTTCCAGCCAGAGTGTAAAAATAAGTATTGGAACAAATCACTTGCACATATCTATAAGTGAAATTCAAATAGATTTTGCAGGTAAGATTCACAAAAAGATGTAGGTGCTATTCATAAAAACAGAACAGGGAAGGTATCCTCGCCCTGTGGCTTCGTGCCTAACTCACACCAGGGTTAACTTCATTCTCTCATTCTCTCCTCATTGTATGAAAGCCCTGTGTTTATATGTAAGATGAAGGCATTTCCTCTTGGCTGGTTTTATTAATATCATATAACTTGTTTGGGAAGCTTTATCTCTAACTGCATCAATTAAAGCATTTAATTCAATCTAAAATTATTTGTAATTATTCCTATGGTGATTTGCTGAAAATTACAAGGAGAAATTTGATTTCACATTAACCAAATGCGTTACTAAATTTCTTAAGCCACAGAACTATCCTTTCCTTCAGACCATTCTTCCTCTTTGGAAATGTTAAAATTCTACCTCTAAATATGCTTTGTGAGTTCTAAGGACTTAGGCTATTTTCACTAAAATTTGAACAGTGTTTCATTCCACCAAATTTTTTTCTCAATCTGAGGCAAATGGTTTTGCACTTTCAGCTCTCTAGTGCAAATAGACAACTATGAGAAAATTTAGGCGAGGGGGAAAAAAGAAAGGAAATTAAAAGTCAGATTGATATGTGCTTTCTCCAAAGACATGGAAATTTGGCCATTTTTAGCAGTGCTATTTAAAACTGGAACTGCAATGAGTATTTTAGGCTCCAGAGTGCCTGCAGTCAGGACTAGGGAGCCACACAGCTATAAATGTAAGCAGGCACCCCCCTCCCTATGTATAAGAAGACAGCAACTGGCAATCTAGTCCTATATTTTCAAACCGTAAAAGTAATTATGGGCAAATGAAAAACCCCAGTTTTTCCAAGCAACAAACTGGAAGTCTTGCTGAGGTGTTCTGCGATTGTAGTCAGCCTTTTGCTAATGCTCTTTCATGGGTGAAGGGTTTCTTCTGTATTTGCTGAAGAGGGAAATCGGCTCTCCCTGAACAGCTTTTGTCGGTTTCCATCTGTATCAAGTGCCAACTGAAATGCAAGGTTAAAATGAATTTAAACACGTTTACCCTGGTCAGTATTAGAAAGGTGGTTGTCACTATAAAACACATTATTGTGTAACATACCATAGAGAAACCTGTTCTTGAGATCTCAAAAACAATCGTGCTATTATAAATGGGGAGTTTAGCAGCAGCCACTGTGTGTTGCATCACAGAAATCATAAGTATTACTACACCCTCTGGAATCTGTGACATTATAGAATTACACTGCACTAGAGGCACCAGGAGGATTCCCACAAAATATATTTCCTCAAAAGAGTCGGATGTTTTTGTCCCGAATATCTTAGAGTGTGGTTAATGAAGAGATTCACATCATAAGTGTATATTTATTTCACTTTCCTTTTCAGTGGAAGGTAGTTGAAGGATTTTAGCATGTTGCCTTATAACAAGTAATTTTTACTCACGCTGAAACAGCTGGACAACTTGCATGGAATATTCCCTGTATCTCAGTAATACATATAGCTGTCTAAGGGCTAGATACCACAACACTTCATAAAAATCTTTGGACCTGGCTCCATCCCCCTCCATGATGATGCACACGCCCTGCTTTCTAGATTACAACCCACACAATTAAAGCTCTCTTCCTGAGCCACTGCATGGCTGACCTATTTTCTGTATGGACTGAACTGAAACAATCAATGGGCATAGCCATGCATAAAGCGCAAGGCATAGACAGACAGTCCCAAGAGAGGGTGCAGGCAGCTCTGTGCCCCATAGCTCCTTGCTGGGATGCAGTTCCTTAGGTATTTATTCAGGTATTCCTCCCCTTACCCTAGGGCAGAGAAAAAGTAGCTACAGTGCACAAGCAGGGACATCATGGCTTTCCCAACACGTCCAGCCAAATACATGTGCATGGGAGGTACATCTAGGGGTCTAACAAAAGAACTGCTCCCTCAGAAATAGTACATAAGGTCACAACTTGGCTCTCACACATATGTCCTCAAGGCTCAGTGTGATGCCTACAAGAAATTAGCCTACTGGTGCTGACTTGTGTGAGGGGCTGGCTTGTTTGAATACTTCTGTTAGCAGGGCACTATTTGCTTTGGAACAGCTACTTCTAGGATGAATAGACAAGAAGAAAATCAATTCACAGTTTAGCTTTAAGTAATACAAAGGAGCTAATATTAGGAGTGAGAGCAGCCAAATCAAGAATAATGGTTACCACATTACACCTGGGTTCAAGGAGCAATGGGGGTGCCTAGTAGTAGCATTGAGACTCTGAACTGTAGAAGGGGGCATTTCAATAAAAGTCAAAAGATTGCAGTTAAATATGAAAGCAGTAATATTCTTAGCAGGGGCACTGATTCCACTTAACAAAACTACCATATCATAAGAAATGCGAATGAAAAAATAAGTGCAAGTGAATATCACAAAAAATTGTGCTCTGATAAGGGGAGATTCTTCCAACAGCTGAAGGCCCGTGGAAGCTCTAAAGCTCAAATTTATTTGGGATCTGAAGCAATGAAGAGGACTTGGTGAGGTCTCTCTGTGGTGAAGCAAAATTAATTCCTAGAGAACATCATTGCTCTGACTTGGGTCAACTGACAGCAGTAGCATCTGCACTCCTTAGCAAAACACCATGAAGGGAACAGGTGTCAGCTTCCTCAAAGCTCCATATCTACAAAAGTAAACGAGCATCCCATACAAGCTACAGGAAATAAATGAGGAGCCAAAACGATAGGAAACATGAGCAGTGATCTAAGAGTGGCATCACCTGAATAGAAGAACCAAAAGACTGGAAGAGCAGCAAGTTACCAAATCAGTAGAAATCAATACCTGTTTTGTAAGTAAAAAGCTTCATTAGAGGAATTAACATGATCTTTTCAATTGTTTCATTGCGGGTTTTTGTTTCATTGCAAACAAAAACCTGATCAAGAAACTGCTGTCTGTCTAGCAAATTCTGCTGTGTTTAGTACAACAAAATTACGGTTTTAAGCCCTAGCCCCAGAAGTACATACGCATGCACTTAAATCCTATTGGACTTTTAAGATTAAATTCTGTCCTGAACACTGTTGCTTTCTTGGATGAAGGCATAAGCTCCAAACATTGACTTAAAGATACTGTACCTATCCAGTGATAAATTTGATTCTCTACCACTGGTAGATCTTGTGATGTATGATATATATTCAATAAGTCTTCAATATTACAGCCACATCTCAGATACTCAGAACATGCTGGAAGTAATTGTCAAAGTAATGTCAAAGTATCTGAGACGTGGCTTAATTTAAGTTTTAAGTGCTGAAAATCTTAATTGCAATGCTAAGATCCTGAATAAATGCACTGAATTTTAATAAATCTGTAGACAGTAAAGATCTTAAAAGAGGAGATGGTACAAAATACTCAAGGAATTCCAGCAAAGAAACTGTAATGGCAGCTGTGAACTGCTCAGTTTTTGTTTGCTAATAAAATCAAATATGCAATGTGCCACTTAATGATTTCTAGATCTCATTACAATAAAATTCCATAAACCATATCTTATATTTTCCAATAACTATTTTAAAACACTTAGTTTTACCTCTAATGAAATACTCCTAAATAAATAAATTCGTATACAAAATGCAGATTGCTGTATTTCTACAAAGTAGAGACAAAATAGCGCCAAATACTTTCTAATATGTGTTTCCTTTCAAGTTAAGACATAATTTACAAAATCTTTCAGTTTTAACAACCAGTTTTAGTTAAAAGAAAAATAATCGTGTTTGCTATAGACATCCCATCATGAGTTTTTGGACTGCTTGTTTTGCTTCCTTGCATTATTTTTGTATTTCAAATAGATGGCATGTGTCTTCGTAATGGCTATGATGTTTTACCCTTTTTTACATGACATAACCAGGTTTGGATTGTGTCTCTGATGCTGTGAGTATTGCATTTATTATAAATTCTTTCTTATGTTTTGATTTCACTGTGGGATCTGTTTTGAAATAGGCTGACATAGAATGGTTAAAGACAGATTATTTAAAAAACATTAATCAGACATATATTCAGAACTTTTTCTCCCTTACATATTTACTTTTTGTGGACATGATGCAAACAGTAACCTTGACTTCTCATTTTAAAAGTCTTTTTCATCAAAAACTTATTTAAGTGAATACTGAGACAGCAACTGAACCAGTGGTAGAAGAGATGTTGAGCCATTTTATTGATAATGTCAAAAAAGCACTGTATGACGAACTTCCTCACTTTCTCCTGTGCTGCTTGCTTCATGATCTTGCACTATCATGACTCATAATAGCTGCAGGCTACATAATACCACAAAACAAGTACAAACAAGAGCGTACAAGTTGTGATTTCCTCCTTTTTTCCTTTCTTACTTTTCCTGGCTCACCAAGGTTTCAGAAATTGTTTTTCCCTTGTGAGAACGTGGAGCCTAACATTCTTTATATTGCCATTACACTATTCTTCAGGCTTCCTTACAGTCATCTGCTTCATTTAAGGTTCTTACTCTTTGGCAAAGCAACGAGAATAGTCATCAGAGCTGCAGAATCTACAGCCTTCTGTAGAGCCCCAGAGCTGCACACTCCAAGGAAGAAACTTCTTTACAGTAAGGAGAGCATCCCATGATTGCATTTATAACCTGTTTGCACATATTGTCTGGTTGCTTAAATGGCTTAAATTCTCTCATGGCTAATTATTTAAACTATTCTGTTCCTGGAATCCATTTCTAGCCCGGGCTGTCACCACCTTCTGCCCCTAACCCTAGAAATGCAGTAGACCCATTTATGTGATTTAAAGTGCATGTCTCTTTGCTTCTGCTTTCTGTGATTTGGAAACAAATTGCCCTATCATAACTACAAGAGAAGGGAGTGGCTCCACTGGGAGTTTTGCCTTAGGAAAAACTATAAGATTAGACCATTTCCAAATAAGTAAAACACTTTGTTCTACTGATGGAAAGATAATTAACAGCCACACTTGTTTTGTTACAATTTACGCATTCTTACAAAAAATTCCTCCATTAAATGCTTCTGTAACTCTATACGCTGAGACTTCAGAATGGAAAGTCTGAGGAAATAAAGATTTCTTTTTTTCCACTAGAATTTCAACAATCAAAAGTCTTACTCTTTGTCCTTAGACCAGCCCAGATACAGCGTAACCTGTAGTCTAGTGAAAGGGCATGGACACAATACAGCATTACAGACCAGCTCACTGTGCCGTAATACTCATTTCTGTTGATACTGCATCTTTGCTTAAGATTTTTTCTTCTGTTAGTTCATCCTTTGTGCCTAGACAGCCATCCCACCACATACACAGAAGAAGCAGCCACCTCTGAAAATACAGCCATTTTAGGAGGAGAAATAGATCTGCTTGGTAGAGTACAGATGTGTAAAAAGTACTCCTTTATATCAGAGAGAAAAGCTTTTTAAGTGTCTCAAATGTTTATGCACAGAGATGATTTTTAAAAGGGACTGCTAGGCCTGCACTAGTAACGTTTCCTGAACTTGAGCCTCAGAAGCAGAAACAACTCTGTCCACTCAGAAAAGGAATTACAAGCGGTCGGTCTTGAGAAATTAGAGAAAATTGTGAAGCTAAGAAAATCGACTGAAAAAGTAAACTGCCAGTCATAACGACTACAGCGCCGTTTGGGGTTTCATGTATTCTTGCTAGAAAAAACTAATTGAGCTGGCAATGCATGAGTGAAGTTACTGCTAGAGCATCTAGCGTATGATTAAATAGCAGGCTTTTGTCTAATCCACGAGGCGCGACGGTACGAGTTCTGCTGAAAACCCCGCCGGCGAGCTGCCCGCCGGGC